CTAGTAGTTGCAACACCGGCCGCAAAGCTGTCACTTGGAAACTCTGGTCCTCCAGGTCTCTGGCAGAGCGTTCTTACAAAAATGGAAACCCCCATATGGAAACCAAACCCTAATCATCATGGTCAAACGAGCTGGGGCTGTCCAGGGGACGGCGCCATCTAGGCGGGCCCCTGCGTCTACGCCTTTCACCTCATGTTGGGCCGCAACGGTCGTAGTAGGGGCCGAGGTACTGGCCGCTCGACGATTGTTGCGCCCATGTTCGAAGTATTTCGAAGTGATGGGTGTGGGCCATGGAGTGTGCAACGCCACTTATTTTCTTGCTTCTCCGCAATCATGTGGACATCTCCCTGATCAAGTTCAGCTGCCCTTTTCGATAACGACCTGTTGGAGGCACATCATGAAGGCGGAGTCAAAGGGATGAATTCACTGTTTTCGAAGGTCCCCTAGAAGGAGGAGGGCTCGATCCGGTGCCAGTCCTCCCACATTCCGGCTCAAAACATGCATGTCCCCCCGGTGGGTGTCCACACCTCGGGGTGAAGCTCTTGGCTTTCGCTTCATTCAAGGTCCGTTTGAGCTCATCCCACTTTTAAACGTTTTCCACAAGCGAGCCACAAAGGTTTCCAGCTGTCTTGGAATGCAACCCAGCCTGCTCCAACCTTGTCTGCATTTGGGGGTGCTGTAACGACAGCGGAGTCGATCTTGAGCCGGGTCGTTCGCGGCTTTCGCTCATGGCTGCCCACATGTATCGGTCCCCCCTTAGTCCCCGTGACCAGTTTGGCTTCTCGTACATGTTGCAAAGCTTCTCGGATTCGACGAGCATTTGGCAGGATAGCGAACCCTTTCTGATGCCCGGCACGCAAGCTTCTTCCAGGTCCAGGTTGCAGCGAAGCTCAGACAGGTACTGCTTGACAAGTCTCAGGGCGTCTTCTGCACTTTGGTCTGCATCCCAGCCTCCAACGACGATGGCTGGTCGGGCGGCCGTGTCTGCTCCTCCCCCATCCGAGGTGCGGGTGCTCGACGTTGCGAAAGTCGTCCAAAATTCCTGTCGAGCCGCTCCAGCTGTCGGCAAAGGACCTTGCTCCCGAGGCGACCTTGTTGGCGGATTGCTCTACGTGGCAATGGCGACCTGTCATCGCATCCAACAGCTCTGTCGTGGGCTTAACATGTTCACCCCATGATTGCTTCAACTTGTGCCACGCGATGCCCCACTCCTGCCGAAGATTCCTGCAAGGACTCAGTGATCTGCTGCTGATTGACCTGGAGAGCTTGTTGGAGCAGAGCGAAGGTCAACGGCTGTGTTCCTCTCGCTGTTTCGTCGTCAACATCCACATCACACATCCCCCTAGCACGTCTAGGCCTGCCCTGCGGCGGCATTCCTGCGATCTGGTCTAGCTCGCCTTGTTTCCCCGATCCGGTTGCCATGGTGATCTTTGCGAGGTCGTCGGACTGCAAGTAGCTCACGGACGGGTAAGTGATGGTGTCCCTCACCCAGTCGGGATGGACGGTTTCGTCTATACCTTTCGGGAGTCTGAGGCGCAAAGGCTCGTCGAAAACCTTGAGGTAGTTGTCGTTAAGCTCCCGCACTCGCTGGATCTGCTGCAGTCCCCGATGTGCCTCGAGCTTTACAACGTCCCCCGGCCGGACCTTCAGCTCGACGAACCGCTCGCGGCTTGAGCCAAAATGGCTACTCTCTCTCTCTCTATCTCTCTCTCTCCCTCTCTCTCTCCCTCCCTCTCCATCCTCCACTCACAGCTGACAGCACCACTGACACACTGTCTCTGGTTCTGAGAGCCCTTGGTGCCTGACTACCTTCTGCAATGCGTCACGCCACTGTTCCGGACCGCTCGCGTCTCCTTCCAAGCGAAGAGCTCTGCGAGTCTAAAAGTTTGCAGATGGTGTTCCTCAAACCCGCTGTGACTTCCCATGCCTCACAAAGGCATGACGGAGGACGCACGGTGAGTGTCCATGCATGAGACGGGAGCCGTCCATAAGGGATGGAAGACTCCGAGACCAGCTCGGCCTTGTGGTTGAGACATGCCTGGTGGGAGAGCACCCATGCTTGGAGGAACCCACGAAGTCTCGAGGTACCAACATACCAACCCAATAATTACACTGCTACACTGCTCCGCTTCTAATCTCTGTCGCTGCCAGAGACACAAAGCCCATGCAAATTCACTGCAAAAGACCATTCTGCGTCTGAGTCTCATCGAGTCCTACCAGCGAAAACGTGAACGGCCGCAACGACTTCTGCAAACGATGATCGATTCGGCGAAGCTGTCTAGGACCAATCATGACCAAGCGTCCTATACCGTAGTTGTGCTACGTGCAAAATCTCTATTACCTTGCACGCCCTGGCTCTGGCTCTCGTCTCTTCACAGCCGGCTAACATATCGTCCCAACTTAATCGGTCCGTCCCGCATCATTGCAGCTGAAGGACTGCTCGGCAGCCAGACGTGCCAAAATCTAGGCCGATGTAGACCTGTCTCTGATGGTCTCTCTATTGCTCCTCAGACTCTACTGTTGAGGCAGCGAACCTGCCGCAAGTGAGTTCATGAATAAGAATCATTCGAGGTACCAAATCACACCGGAGCAGACGTGAAAAGGGGACCCGTCATGCTCCAAAAACTCTCCGCCCAGAAGGAAGAAACCACATTGTCGCCCCGATATGCCGTCGTATCGCACGGTCGAGCCTAGGCAACTGGCGCAAGCTGCAACGTTAACCACTTTAATCCGGGTTCTCCGCTGCCACAGCAACTGTTTGACGACCCATGACGACCCGTACCATTTCATACCCCTTGCATCAATGCCCTGAATGGCCTTCCCTGGCACCGGCTCAGTTTCAGCCGCTCCTGTGAGAGCTACAGTTGCATCTGAGGGGGTGTTGACTCGGCGGAAGTGCAGGAAGGCGCCCCTTACTAAACTCACCTTCCTGAGTCGAAAAGTTAACGACACTTTTCGGGCTTACCACTACATCACATCGCCCAGCACCTTTTTGCACTCGAGATGGCTGTCGAAGCGGGCTGGCAGGCTAACTCCTTGGAGAGGGCACGGCTAGCAACTACTGCGGCAGTCGGATAGGTCTGCACGGTCAGGCCTCTGTTGACACGATCTTAGATGATAAAATATTATTGCAGCACATCTGCGAAAAAAGCCATCAACTCTCCGCATACGTTCGGGAGCGCGGGATGGATGCTGAACCGACCTGACTACCAGGTATGTGCAGAAAGGCACACTAACAAACTGCAGCCGCACTCTGCAAGGCACGCTGTCAAGCGCGCCTTCGAGAAACCTATCCCCAGGCGTCTCTCCGTAAGTTTCTTTGATCAAAGCAAGCGACTCCATGAACATGCCTCCTGTACAGGACAATACAAGTACCCCACAGGCGCATGTCTCAGACCCGACATCGCCAGAGAATCTGTACTACAGCAGCGTCCGCTGCATCTAGCAACGCAACAACAATTGTGGAAACGTCTGGTCGATCGATCCGCCCGCATCCTCTTCGAGGGCGTGGCGGTAGATTCGAGGCGCGAAGCGGGCACAACGAAAATGAAGCACGTCGATGACATATGATTCCAGCGCGCGGACAGGGATGCGGATTTGAGGCATGTTGGAGGCTTGTATGCCTTCTGGCTTCTACTTTCGTAGACAAAGGCCCTTCAAGGTCCTTGCACAAATGTCCAAGCCATGCACTCTATTCTTGCAGTACAAACCCAAACCCATGCCCGGAAAACAACGAGAATCACAGCTTTTCAAACACATACGTCCAAGAGGTTTTCTGTCTCGAGACTACGTCTGCTACATCGGTGCTGTCCATCAAGTCTCAACACCCTTGCTTGTACATCCAGAGACGTGGTGCTTCTCATGGTCGCCCCCCTCACACTGAATTTCGCAAGCATACCAAAGCTGCCGGGATGTCTCTGCTCAAGGCCCTCAGATTCGAAACAAGACTGAAGCCGTCCGAGCTAGAAAGCAGTGGAGTCGCACAGCTATGGAGCCCTGTAGTCTTTACATACGTCCTTACCGTCGCTACGTATGTTCGAGCGTCACGCGGATGAGTAGCAAATTTGCGGCAACATGCCATCATCATCTACACAGTTCAACAAGCTCTCTCGAGTGACCTATCAGGTATGGCTACGTGTTCCTCAACCTGTAGTTGTGTCACAAATATGTGTAGCACGTCGCGTGAATAAGGCCTATCCTGTGCCGAAGGCTTGTCGGAAACATCCCGGCAGGTCGGAGTGTTTGTCCTTCACATCTGCAAATGCCAAAAAGCTCAGGCTTGCGTACCCTCACTCGGGAGTACAATGGGCATGAGGTGAGGTAGAGGCAAATCGGAGCACGGCGGCTAGATACAGAACGAACAGCGGAGTTTCGAGCAAGTTTTGCATTGACTCCTCCGGATCTGCTGTGAACATGCAGCATTCTACGCAAAGATTCACTCTGACCTGTGCTCGCATGTTGCAAGGAGTCGTGACCACTTACGACAAGTCCCCGACGTGCGTGCGACAGTACAACATTGGACGTTAATACGCTAGGCCAGCTATAAGCTGTTCCGAACCGCACGCATGAAGCACGTGGCCAGAGGGAGTGAGTGCAGAGATCTGACAACCTAATCAGACACGTGACATGACTCCTCCAAAGCCGCAGGCCCCTGTGATCCGAGTCTGAAGCAGGCTTGTCACTCGAAGCTGGTCGAGACAAACTTGTGGGTGTCTACCGCCTGACATTCTAAGGGCTTTTTTACCATGACAAGGTCGATCACGAGCTGCATTGTGGGACTGTGGCGTCAAGGGCTGTGGCCCTCAGCTTCTCCCAGAGCACTCCAAGACCTGCAAGCGGTTATCATGTGTGGGTCTCGCGATGGAACTGCCACTTGAGTCTCCTGAAGGGTGTCTCAATTGATCCAAGGCAGTCAACATGTTTTTTCTACTGCGGGACTCCAGTCAACATCAGGTCCTGAATTACCACAACAAGATAGCATTCAGAAATAGCCTCACAGATCACCCCAATGCGCCGGGCAGTGGTAGCACCTCGTAGCATCTATGCCATGCAACGTTGCAATGGTCTTCGAATGGTCTCGCTGGTAGCTACAATTCCCAAGGTACTGGAATTTGGCATGAGTTTGTTCACAAAATCGAAACATAGGCATCAAGACAAAGCGATTGTTTCAAGAGTGAGACAGGCTGTCTTGCACCGATCATGTCGTATCCGGTTCGCAACGCTTCTTGGGAAGTGTGGCGTCAAGGTCAGGTAAGGCATGCTCAGGATTCTCTTGCGCTTAGAAATTGGCACTGGCAGCATCAAGGTGCCAGAATGCAGCTCGGGCACTGGACACAAGCCCGACGGAACGGACTTGTTCCGAGCGGGGCCGGCCGAGCCCACAGAGTTGGCTGAGTTGTGTCGTGAATTCGAGCCTTAGTGCAGCGACCCGGCCTTGCGATCTATGCCATGCTTTACTTACCTCTCCACAACTTGCTGCAACGCTTTATCGCTACCGGCTCTGCCGCAGCTGGATGGACTTGCTGAAGTTCTTACCAAGCTACAAGTAGCACCTTGCAATGGCTTTTGCCATGACTTCGCGAGAGTGTCACGGCGCCCTGCATTGTAAGCTTTTCCTATGTTGTCGCACTTTTGCAGAGCAGATGTCTGCTGTGCTTGTTTAGCGACATTTTTTGAATTCGATCTTCAGGGCTGGAGAACATTGGACCTGTTTTTGCTACAAGTAGTGCTGCTTTGTCAGCGGCTGTCCCAGTGCTCGCACAGGCCACGGAGTATTGAGCTAAGCAGCGACCTTTGTTTCGCTTCTGAGCCTGTCGCAGCGGACTTTGCTCCGGACCAAGCCACGGTCCCAGAAAGGCCGCATCAGCTTATGAATTTCAGACGATCGTCTGGCACTATGGGGCAGCTAGAACTGGCTGAAAGCCTGGACAAACCTTCTGCAGCGTTCATCTTCTATGTGGTTCCTGCGCTGGGATTCATGTGAACTGATACAAAGGAAGGCAGAAGATCTGCGATGCCAGCCTCGGACAGGATCCCACGTCGTGTGGCCACGCGAACACAATACTGCCGAACAATCCTTGAATGCATGCTGGGAGCAACAAGGGAGTGGGGACGTAACGATGGAAGTGGCTCAGGGAGCTTAGCAAACCTCGGACAATCATGGACAACCGACACATCACGGAAACATTAGCACCCCAACTGTAGGGAATTGGATTCAGGAACTGCGCTTGGGCGTATCTTATTCTAAACCGACTATGTGCGTGAGCTTTCTGTGCCGACCCTTGGCACATCTGAACTGTCTGAGCTCTCATGTCGTTCTTAGGTCACGCCGGGACACATCAGGCCGCGCAGTGCTGGTACACACAACGAAACAAGAGGAAAATTTGAAAATTCCCCAGCCTACATGCGTGACATGTCGCTGCCTGCAGCCATGGGTCTTAGCCAACTGAGGGCAGGTGGATTTCCTGCGCTCCACAACTTCCATGAACTGTTTGTGGGGCAAGATCAACACCTCCAAGTATGTGAGCCTTGGCATTCTCACGCTGAAAGCTTCGTCACACGAGTAAAACTGTGTGAGTCCGAAGCCAGAACCCAGCTAGAACCTCGCGCTGCTTGGTCAGCGTGGCTTCTCTGGGCGGTGTACCATACCGTCGCGGAAAAACCTAAACCATTTCATTAGTACTCGACAGATTCGGCACATATTGCCCCATGAGCTCATCTGGATGCCAGTCTCGACGACTTAAGCCCTCACCGGGTTCATACGCGGATACTCGGAGTGCAGCTCCGCCACGCAAATGCAGAGACACGCCGAATGAGGGTCGCGTCGGAAAGCACGAAGTCCTCGGGACAAGCAACGTCTGACTGAGCAGCTTCAGATAATTGCCCGTCTGGATGTGTTCGGTGGAGCAACACTGTGACAAGTGAAGTCCGGAAGAAGAAGACGACTGACTACCTTGGCTTCTTCTTCGTCCTCACCCCAGACAGCGCCATAGAGGCCAATCTTGCTGTTCAGCGCTACCAAGCCTTTGGACAGGATGTAGAGCACCTGCTGTCACCAAGGCCAGGACAAGCACCTATGTGAAGTATATTCTGGGTTCAACTGCATCTTCCAAGATACAGAAAATCCGCTCACATGTTATCGATCTATAGTGCAGGAGCGGATTCCAGCAGGTCTCGCTCATCTCATTCGGGTGGCAGAGTACAGGCACGTTGGCTCTGCTTTCCGAACCAAGCCCCCGTGTCGTGGGCTTAGCATCAACCGCAAAGCCTTGCATTTCAGTGCTGTTACTTCGAGATGCATTAGTACTTGGCGCTTTCGACTGCTGCCAGTGTTGATCACAACCTTGCGTGATGGCCAGGTCCCACCGGCAGTTAGGGTTTTTGATCCGTGAGAGTGTCAAATAGAACAACCTTGAGCTTGGGTGCAGGAAACGCACGCAAATTCTCCGTAAGCTGTATAAGCCATGAAAGTGTCGCACTCTACATCGGTCTCATCAGACAGTCGCAACATTTGGGCGTTCTGTCTTTGTGCAGTTTCCATGCTGATGCTGCATTGTTGCATCTGCACACACCCACAGCCTGGACGTCACCGAACATCTCCTCCTGCGCAAAAGCCCTGCTCTCGATCTGGTGCGAGATATCCGAGATGCCTGGGGGGCATGATGTGCCAGCGGATGCAAGTGGAAGTAAAGACTTGTACAGTCGACAGCTCTGACCGAGCAAAGCCACATGCTCGGTACAGGTCGGTATTGATGCCTTGCGACTCCTGCGCAGGGTTGGGGCTTTGTCTGAACCAGTTTAATTAAAGGATGCTACAGGCAAGGTTAAGCACGATACCTTAGGACGGCTAGTCTCTACTAGTCACAGTCTGCAAGTCGGTGATAACGGTGGCCATGCCGTGCTCGTCAAATCGATCGCCGGAGACAACTTTACCCGAGATCTTGGACCTTCGCATCGTCTGCATCAGATCAAGTCTTTCGGTCCTTACTCTCGATAACCTTCATAAACTGCCGGAAGAACCAGACTCGATTGAGCCACTGCAAGTTCCTTGGAACCCGTCGAGATGGGGGGCATCTTGCAGTGCAAAAAATATTGCCCAAAACCCGTGACATGCCTAAGCCCTGAGACTCCAGCATGGTGCTGGCAAGGGTTCTCGAGATTTAGAGACAAGTGGTTGACATGCGAGGTCAGGGCTACACGTGGGCTTTCCACCGGAACCGAAGAATTTTGATGCCCAGGGGGCATTGATGTGGACACCTCCGCTTGCAGCTGTGGGCTCATGGACTCCAGGAGCTTCTGATGTCTGACCTCAGGCAGCGCACCGCGAAACTCCGGTAATTCGCCACATGGAGCTGTGTGGTTGATGTGGTGTTATGTACTGAGGGTACTGCTTGACCTGCAGGCCTGCAACATCCTGCAGCTTTCCATGAGGCTATACTATCAGTGACTATAAGGAGTGCATCAAGTCCTGCATGCAGGCCAAGGTGCGAACTGTGCTTGATGCTTGTTTTGCAGGAAATAACTTCGGAGACGCCGACGCAGATTTTGAGGGAGGCCTCGCTCCTTGCAGGTTTACAAGAGAAAAAACTTGCAAATCAGAAGCGGGCACATGCCGAGCCTGCATCATGCGATTCAAGCTGTTCATCTTCTTCCGAAATCCTGGCGAGACTGTGAAGTACCACTGTGCAGTACCGCGAGCTTTCGTTAGTGGTCGTAGTGATAGTCCGCGAATATCAAGAGACCTGACACCGTGGAGTCTAACCACTGGGGAGCACCCCGTTGGCAGAATTCTGGACTGTGTTGACACCTTGACCATCATGGCGACTGTTCTCTGCTACGGAAGATTCGCTCACTGCAAGCATCCTTGGTTCTCGGAGTTGATGTCTGTGACGATGGCTCCCACCTTCGGCTGAGAGATCCCAAGCTCCCGCCCCCAACATCGAAACTTTCGGGGTTACGGACATTTTGCTCACCCTTGCCTCGCCAAGGATGTATGCCCAGCACAGGCCAGCGATCAGGACAATGGCAATGCAAACCATTCGCTCCATTATGTTCCTCGGACTATCCACGGGCATCATTCGGTAGTCCTGCCCTGCACGCACAAATCTTCAATTCAAGCTCAAGCTCCAGCACCATTTCAGACTCTGCTAGTCTTGCATAACGTACGAGACCCGACGTCTCCTCCTTGAGGTGCCTTTCAACAGCCAGTGACTTCAAGTTGCAGCCAAGCTTCTGCGGCCCAATGTCCCCATATCCAACTGATGTCATGGTGTAGCCTTGGAGGCATTGAGCCAGTAATCTTCACTATCAGGTACGACAATGCCCAAACGCACCAAGCAGTGAGCGGTCTAGTCTTTGCCTCTGCGAAGTGCCTCCTGCACATGTTCTTCAGCTGTTGTTTGGAGTCTCCGTGCGGGTTGAATAACACGCAGCATTAGCTTTCGTTGTGCTTCGGTGTCCGCTGTGGTTGAGTCGGAACTGGCTCGTGCTGATAGCGAGCGTGCAGGCATTGTGCAACCCAGTGTTTACACGCCGCGGCGCTAAAAGGAACACATGCCGAGCTGAAAAGCCGCTGGTCAAATTGCGATGCTGGCAGGGCAATAACTGTGGCTGCCTGCCCCAATCGGCCAGAGAGACTCGGCCAAAACGTAAATTCTTGAGCTGGCCGAGAAGCTGCAGAAGTAGAAGGCTGCCACATAGATTCGTGCCGGCGAAGCCTTCGTATCTATGCCGAACCTCAAAGTGCGACACAGTCGGAATGCAGGCAGTGGCGGCTCGTGCTAGCGCAACATGTCCGAAGGGAATCGGCTAACGAATCACGCCGTGAGGGCTGGAGCTTGGCAACAAAACACCCTCGATGAAGCAGTTGCTTCGGCCACGGAACTCAGCATCCGTTGTGGCAATCTCATCAATCCATTGCGGGTGCCTTGACTTCTGCCGGATGTAAGAGTTGCAAGTGGGAGATCTGGGGACTGTGGATGCCAAACAGATCCAAGAAGTTTCTCATATTGGGGGCCTCCACGATGCCGATAGACCGACTCGGATCTGCTTGGCTACACCACAAGCCGAATTATGGATGCCTGGGCCCAACCAACGGACCTAGAAATTTGGTGGGTGGGTGGGTGGGTGGGTGGGTGGGTGGGCGGGTTGCTGTGTGTGTGTGTGTTTAGCACTTCGCGAGTCGGAGTCCGAACAGGGACTGGGCCGGCTGCGCAGCAGCCAGGACCATGAACTCTGGATATCTAGGCCGAGCAAACTTGTAAGTTTAGGATCTGGAATCTCGTCTGAGGCGCATGCAGATCTGCTATGCACCGCGCATCTGCGATTAAAACACAGCGCGTGTCCCACTCTGCAGTCAATAGTGCATTAAGTCAAGCAGTATTAATGCCTCTGCTTTCGTGTGCATGAGCGGGGGAAGACAGTAAAGCGAAGAACATCGAATAACTAAGAACTCGTGAGGCAGACAATCGGGTCTAAGTCTGTGCGCCACTCACAACATGCACAATCAATGTTGCAGCGACTCTCGGCAACATTCCTTGGCAGCGAGGTTTAACCATGGTCAGAAGATGTTCTGGGACTCTACATACCCTGTGTTTGCTTGGTCTGGAGTGAAGAGCCGACATATGTCGCGCGCCGAGTGCAACTGTGAGAAGTAGCTTGTCTTGATGAAAGCCTGGCACACAGCAAAAAAAGCCCTCGGGCCGGATGTCGGCCGACGATTTCTAGCCATAAGAGAAACTTAAGCCCCAGAGAGTGAAAGAGCACCTAGCAGTCCAAGCCCTGCATCCGCAGGACCCATTCCAGGAGTACCCTAGAGCCCCGGAGACCACCCCATGAGTCCAAAAACTGTCCGATGAGTCCAAAAACTGTCCGCCACACTGTATCGGATTCTCTAGTTGCTGCCGCAGGCACGCGTCTTCCGCCATTCCCAGAGTCATTGCCCAGAGGCACGACAGCCAGTGGCAAACTAACATCAGCCTGATGGTGTTCTGTTTTGGATTCATACAGGCGTCTACGTGTAATTAAATATAAACATGATATCTATGCATTGATTGCAGTGCATTATATTACAATGCATTGCATGGCATCGGATCTGAACCTTATTGTTTCTGCGTTAGTACTGTCTGTCTTGTCTTGTCTTGCTCGTATGTGTATGTCATGTAGTCTAATATAACGTACGGTGAGGCCTGTAGGGAAGCATGCCTGTCTGCCTGCCTGCCGGTGACTGTATATGCGATATTCTATTTAAATAGGTCTCAGCCGCAGGGGAAATTGTATACATTGTGGTCCACGCTACAGGCGCATTTGGATAAACCCGATACATCAACCTGAGAATCATCACGCGCCAAGGGCATCCGCAAAAGTTGGAAGGCCTCGAGGCTTGTCGTTCGCACCATGACAGCCAAGTCCGAGGCTGCTACTGATTTGACAATACAAAAGTGTGCTCTGCGACTCGGAGTAAACAGACGGCGAGGCAATGTGTCTCGAGGAAACTTCAGACGAGGAACACAAGCAAGAACTTGATGAGTGCCATCTGCTGGTAGGGTATCGATAGCGCGATCTCCAGCTTGTGTATCCTTGGTACAGCGAGGCTCGGCCCACCTTGAAACCTGCAGATACCGGGACGAGCTGCACTTTGGAGGTCCGGAAAATCCGCATCAACTTGAGCAAGCGGAGGGCTCGCATGATTTTGATGCCTTTGAACTCCTGCAGGCAAGTCCAAGCTGGCAATCCGACGGCATGCAAAGCAAATACCTTGTCTTGCAGTGGGAGTGAGAACGGCAGTGAGGGTGAGAGCCGGAAGCGATGGTGAGGGTGAGACTGACGCAAAGTGTGCGAGGGTGGGGTGAGGGTGGGAATTGGGGGGCCGGGAGGTTTAGACAGTGACAGTGAGAGTGACGGTGGGTATGAGAGTGAGGGTGCGAGCGAGGGGATACCTAGGCTTGCGAATGCAGCTGCCGGTGTATCTCATGAACCTTCTTGAACCCTGCAACAACCTGGCAGCAGCAACATGGCTAGTCACAGCCAGCGGCACTGCTGAAAAGAACCGCAACCTCGCGAATGTTCCAATAATTCCACTTCCCAACGAAACGGCAACGGCGAGCAGCGCTGTGGCATCTAGACTCAGTAAGTTATTGAACACTGAATCGCGTGCTGGCCGCATCTGTAGGGATGCATGAACGACTGGGTGGTGTTTCACACATGAAGACCACTTGGACTAAGATGCAAAAACTCTTCATCGGCTCCTTCAGATTGTTTGCGCCAGGGATGATCAGGCTGATCACGTCCTCATTCTTCTCACAGTTGACGCTTCAAACTGCAAGCCCCAACTCACGCTGCAATTGACCTGCCTACGGTATGCTGTGTAAAAATCTCTCAAAACAATAGAGCTTTGGCAATGAAGACAACACCGCATAGTCATCAACCTTCCTCTATCTTGAACCTTTCCAACATCAAATCGTGCCCGGGAGTGAGGTTGATTGACTATGATCATTGCTACATGCTCCATCAGCAGACCACCCGCGCAAGCAACTTCATGTCCGAAAGGCCCATGGTATCAGCGTGACAAAATCCAGCGCAAACCATGTCTTCATATAGTGCCTGCTGATCTTTCCTGGGCGGCAGCACCGGGATACATGACCAGCACAGGCACTACATCACAACATGTCTCGGAGATCAGGCCCGACATGGGCATCAGCTCATACTCAATCTAGCAACTTTGTTTACATGATATCGCATCACAATACCTGAGCCCCAAGATGATCAAGGCGAGTGTCCCAGCGAGTGCTCCCACTGGACGCCTCGAGCTGTCCTCTTGGGATACATCGTGAAGAACTGGAGGATCATGTCTGTGAGGAATATGAAATCAATGCCTTCAGGACTCTCACCCGCGGCATTTCCGGTCACTGATGCATGCAGCCAGTCACCGTTGTGTGTACACATTCGTCTGATTGCTGAGTGCGTGGCGGTGTCACGGCAATTCTTATTTCGTCCACTGTCGGGACCAACACTCAGGTCTGGAAACAGAACTGTCTACACTGGGGTTTTAACGCTTGTACTCAATATGCTGCAGCCGGGGCCTCGGCGTCGCTTGAGCTGTCAAACGTCCAATGCGCATGCGCTTGGTTGCGACATTTGTCTTGATGCTCAATACGACTCAATGTCACTGCGTGTTTGGGCATCGGGGTGGCGCATTAGCGCGCGGTTTTCAGGTGTGGCTGGAAGTTTCATTTTGCCGCCTCACGCTCACGGATGAATTCAGCAGCATATGCAAACCTAACCCACTGAACACAACTACCACAACTTTTCGATCTTGCAATGCTTCCTGAGCCATGGAACTTTCAATTTCGGTGCCATCTTCATGACTTGTGCAGCAGCGGTCCAAGAGCTTCGTGTGATCTCTAGTATCTCCATTCACCCCTCTGTGCTTTGCAGCTGGCCGGTGAGACTCTGCAGGAGTATCTTCAGGTGGGCTGGTTTCTGGATTTCCCGGAGTGTGTTCACGTAGCAGGCAGAAAAGACATCTCGGTAGCAAGGCAACATCTGCCACTGCCAGTGAGTTGCACAGACTCACGGCCAGAAGCAGGTCGACCTGCATCTCGAAAAGGCCGACCTGCGGACAGGGTTTGTCATTGCAGCTTGCGGAAATGAATCTTGGGTCCATGAAGTCCCGCATCAATGATCCGTGAGGGCTCCAGAAACTGCTGAATTCTGAATCGAACTCCTGGATCGTGAAGGAGATTCTGAAAGCGTCTATTAGCGTCTACGGCGTCGACACCATACACAAGTCTGCCCACCACTGAACCCGAGCCTTCACATGTCCCGCTAGTTATGCTCAGCCTGGAGGGGTGTGATGAGAGCGACAAACACCATGGCAATCGTGGTCACCTGGTTTGTGTGACTGGATCGAAGTCAGGGAAGGCAGTAATCTACGGGTAAAATAGCACTGCCTGAGAAGAGTAGAAGTCTAAAGCCAAATAGCTGCAGATTGCGACTGTGTGGCAGCCTGCGTAACCCCACAGACATAATGCATGAATCCAGGAATTCCTCGACACTGTAGTTTTCTATTGCAACAACTCCGACCGCGACCACTGCCGTAAGTTCCCAGCCATCTGCCAGACCATGAGGCAGCGATTGCTTTCCGGGTTGATCACCTCACATCTGCGGAGCATCTTCTCCAGTCTTATAACAATCACAGAGACTCAGTGTGGCCCAAGCACAAAGGGCGAAGGCAGTAACGACTGTTCCTCCTCCTGTCGTTGATGGAACACATCTCGAAAGCCGTCGTGCAAAATCTAGCTTGTCAGGCGAAGAAGCAAAAGCCCTATAAGCCCTCCAAGTGCACTTGGCAAAGTGAGGTCGACTGGGGAGACATGCTTGAAACACTTGGATCCCAAGGTTGCAGACCAGAGTTTCGTAGACATTACACATCCCAAACAACCCAGCTGAAATTTCGTAGCGGCCCTGAGAGGACAAGTCAAGCGAAAATCGAAGATTAGACTACAAGAAATGCAACTCAGCGGCATACCAGCGCTTTTCTGCAGTGAACTTTCTTGTCTTCTCTGCGCGCATGATCATCATCTGCACCTGAGTCCGGCGGCGACCATGACCATGCCTGTGGGCATGGCGAACACTCAACATGCGATCTCAAGCTTATAGTCATCTAGCTCTTTCAGAATGATTCAGCCCAGCAGGACAGCTCTTTTTCATGTATCTTCGAACCCGTCGGGAAGAGGTGCCGCCACGAAGCTTCCAACGAAGCAATTTATTTCGTAGCGTGCGTTTCTGCACTCCGAGGTGCTCTCCGCTTCTCCAGTAAACTGGCCGTGGTTGTTGGCCCTTGTCCTGAACATGCAAGAAGACTGGCTGCTGCTCTCTTCTTCACTCCTACTGGCATGCGTCTTAGCGCAAAATCTTCCAGGAGTTCCTTGACTTCATATCATGAGTTCGCTACTACGGTTCATTTAAATCAAGCCTCAGAGCGATCACATGCTTCTGTGCTTGGGCTCCGCAGCAGGACATTCCGTGGACAAACATGTTACTGTACCGCAAGGGCTTCATATGTATGTTATTCAAACGCCCTCGGCCGAGCGGGTACTAGCGACAAGCACATGCAACCCTCAACCTTTCCAATTTCTTCCACGTTGGAACGGTGTGTGACTCTGTGTCTACCCAGGCGTGGAACTCATTCCGGTGATTCAGGTCCCGAAACTCCAAAGCTTCTTCCCTCGAGCCATTCTGAAAAGGCTCAGGATGCCTTCGCTCAGCGTGGGCCGCAAACAGCTCTAGGCTTAGAACATGTGGCGCGTGAAGCATGCTGCATGTGCTTGGAGCTGGCATGCAAAGCCCGTGCAGCCGGCTGGCGGAAGTCTTTGCTGGGCCCCATTGGCATCGGGACCTCGGCATCCACGTCCCAAGATACAGCGAAGGATGCTTTGCGGTCTCACTTTGGTGGCGGCCTCGAGCATCCCATCGATATCGCCAACATCCATGGATGCAGACTCCTGCTCACACTTTCTGCTCCATCCCTTGTTAGTTAAACCCCCATTCTGGCGTCAAATCGGGGCATGTGACTGGACGAGTGAGAGTTAGTGGAAGCTCCCCAGCCGGCCCAGACAACCCAGGCTCCGCCATGCCCTCTGCAAGGACGGGCGAGGACGTCTCTGCCATCTGCGCGCTGTCCGCTGAATGGTCGGACCTAATGTCCGACCTGAGGCCCAGTGAACTCTTCCATGCTCGGCTTGCTATGGCTGTAAGGCCTTCTGCAACCGAGAAGCACGACCACTCGCGGCAGATTTGGTGAGGCCAGAGCACTTCCCAGGCCGCTTCTTGCAGATTCTTCAACTCTCAATGAGGAGTTGGACCTTCTGCTCTCTGGGCCGTCTGCTTGTGAACCTGAGGCCGCGTATGTTGCATGTTGGCATTGACGAGGCTTCCGAGGCCTGGAGGGTCTGAGTTTGAGTGCTTCTCCCATTCCGTTCCAAACCAAACAGTCTGAACTGCAACTGATGTGCCCGACCACGCGGAAATGCGGCTCAAAGGTGGAGGGTCGTGGACACTCTTCACCTGGGTGACTTCCCGCAGCCTCGGAAGCACAAAAGGCATTGTGGCTTGTTGTGTGCGGTGTAAACACAGGTCTCGAGGACTGCCTGGCAAGCAAATTAATTCCATGCCTAACGACAGTTCCGGACATCGCAAAACCAGACTTCAAAAAGGCTGCTGTTGCAACTTTCGACTGGTCATACGGACCTGCATCCGGAACGGTATGATCTACTCATACATACACCGGTCACACGTACACACAAAGGGTTCTATGTCTGGGCCTTGGGTGGGGTGGGGGGGTCAGTAAACACGGGAAGTGCTCATCCACAGAACAGAGGAAAGACAATCTGACAGACTGCTGCTGTGACAACGGCTGAGAAATCGGAGAGAGAGGGAGGAGTGGAGCGAGACCCATCATGGAAGCAGGGAAAGCGTTGAAACAAAACCACATTCACAACACATCATGACGTGATCAAAAACCAGCACAAGCACGCACACAAAAACAAACACACACACACACACCAACGCATGCATGCATGCGTAGCAGCTAGCTAAATGCCCTGCTGAGACCTTGGGAGGGTAGAATACCTCATGGTGCAAGCACAACACAACACCGCCTTGGCAGCTTGATTCGGCACATGTGCTTCAGGGAAGGCGGTCTTACGGCACGGGGAACGGGGACTTCAAAACTTTGTTGTCCCATATTATCCCCATATTCGGTGAAACTCAAGTCTCCCGAGCCGACGACACACTCTCGGAAGCACGGCCGAGAGACAAACCAGTTCAACTCCACATCACAACACTTTAATTCGAGCAGCTGTCGGTTTTGCAGCTCAAGCTGCGCAACGTGTGCCTGCAACAAAGTAAGTGTGGGAGCAAAGTGATCGGAAAGTAGATGGGGGGGAGGAAGCGCAGTCTTAATGCTGTATCTGGGGTCAGAATGCGTTAAGGCAGCAGAGTACAGATCCCCAATCCTTGCTTCCAGTCGAAACCTCCAAGCCTCAAAGAAGTCTGCACTAAACAAAGCTACAGTACAACAAATCCAGATACTCCACCCGCTTGCCGGCGCCCTACACACAAAGGCGCAGCCTGCTGTGTCTCCAGTTCGGCTGTCAGCTGGCTAAGAAGATCCCGCCATCTTTCCTTGCGCCAGCGAAGCGTTTCATGGACCCGGTTGACGCTGCAAAGCTACCGGCTCAGCTTCACTTACACTGTTCTACAACCCCGAGGCTTTGCCAAATGCAGCTGGCCACAAAAGCCAACATGCGGCCGCGTGTCGCTTTGGCCATCAGCTGAAATCAACGAGCCCTGCTGCTGGAGCATGGCACCGAGAGACAGAAACCACCGAGCCCGTGCTGGCACAGGCGTGTTTTGCCACCAATCCACAGAGTTTGCTCCCGCCTGGGCGTGGTGTTGCTGTTGCTGGCCCCGCCACTATCGCGTGCTTCCTTCCGCTGAGTGTGCAAGGTTTGGTATGTGATCAATACGGTCCAGGGCCGATTACTTGAGCCCTGGCAGCTTGTGCAGAGCAGGGGTGCATTCTGCTACCGTCGAGGAACGCAGATCTCAAGTACACAGACCAGGGATCACTCCTCTTGCCAGAATAAAGCCATAAGTTGCAAGGGTCAAGTTAAGTCAAGCCTTAAGAGTTCGCTGCAAAGACTCTCCGCATGACAGCTTGCACGCAAGACCAAGTTGCCCCCATCTCCAGACCAGTGCATGCCAACCGATCACTCCTACATACAAATCATCATACTTGTTGTGCACCCCGCCATGCAGGCTACAGGCATCCCCGAAAAGCTTTTGGTACGGGATGGCGTCAAGAGATTGTCCCGGTCTTTGACGGTCAACGGCCATATTGTCCGACTGCAGCTGCCATGCCACTAGCGCATGGAGAACAACCCGGCCAGTAACGGATGTTAACGGTGTGCCAGGGTTAGGGATGCATGCATTTCTTGGTACTTGACTTGGCATTGCGGGCAAAGTGCTGGATGAAGGGCTCCTCCTACGATGATTAACTCCAATTCCAGGATGTATTATGTCAGCAGCCGCAGAATCAAAAGCCCATGTCAGTTCGGACAGGGCTCTCCAGCTTCAGTTCCTGCTGTGTGCTCTCAGCGCTGGCTTCTTTCTGGAGGTCCCTGCGACTTTACCGTCCAACTTGTGACCACAAACGAGCAAGCAATGCACCAGAGGGATGACACTACCCGATATTGTAGCGAAAACCACCACCAAATCTGTCCCCATCACATCATTGAACATTGAGCCACATGAAGCCAGCAGGAGACTGATGCCGATTTCCCCACGCCTTCATGCGATGGGGATTCGCAAGGGGCCCCTGCATGGGGATCCTCGCAGGAAACTGCATATGCCGAAATGGGTCGTCCTGCACATGCCGGTTTGCGGAAGCTTAGGCTTCACGTGGCTGCATTACGATTGCAGTCACAGCCGTTGGAATCGTCCTGATAGCCGTGTTGTTGTTCGTACCTCCATTGTACGAATGATGATGACGAGAATCATGAAGAAAAAGAACATGAGAGCGAGGGTGAGTGATCAGTTACCAGTAATCCTCAGTCTTATCCGAGATGTCGTAAAGAATAGGTCTGAAAACCACGCAGCAGCGCCAGGCACGGCCCAAAGAACAAACGGCAAGAGCTGGCGACACGCGGTCAGGCACCTGTCGGCGGTACTCTGGGAAATCGTCTTGACAGGTGGATGAGCTCCGAATGCGAACCCGACAGCACTGCCGGTCCAAGCAGACTGTCTGCACCGAGAATGTCGCAACTGCTTGCTGGCAGCACAGGCCACGTTGTGGCTACTTCCTTCCGCCGGCGAATGTATCAAATGATTAGTCGTTGGTACTGGGGATCCTCTCTAGCGCCATCAAATGTGGACCAACAAACCGTACGGGCCGCCATGGGAGGGCAGTTTTGGAGGGTTTTGCCAGGCTACTCCGTTGCCAAAAAACTTACGGACCCGAACAATAGCAAGATCAAGACAGCTAAAAGACAAGCGGATCCAGCAAACCTAGAGAAAACCACCAGATAACCGTTAAATCAATAATAAGACAACCGAACTTGAACTAAACAACCTACAAGGCTGCAAACCTAAATCATCCCAAAGCATATAAAACAACCTTGAGTTTGACCGCCCACACAGAAGAGTTCCGCAAAATATGTTGTTTTTTGACACTCACACTCGGACAAAGCCTGGGGCGTGAGTTTATGAGAGCAGGTATGTAGCACACTCAAGGATACATAGACACCAAAATGGGTCCATATATATATATATAGAGAGAGAGAGAGAGATATACACATACATACATGCATGCAGTTATATATATATATATAATTACACATAATGGGGACTCTTGATTAATTACCACCCCCCCCCTCCCCGCCCCCACCCACCCCCGCCACCCAACGCTCCACTCCTTCTAGGGTGTTGTCGGGCAGGTAGGGCAGGTACAGTCGACAA